TAAATGGAATCACACAGCATGAGCTCTTTTGTGTCTGGCTTCTTGAACTTACTAGGTTGCCTGGGCTATTCACCTGTCTGTATGTCTCAGGGTTTTGTCCTTTTTTTGCTGGGTAGTATTTCATTATATTAATATGCCACAATTTATTTACCTAGTCTCCTATTGATAGGAATTTGTTTCCACACACCTTCCAGCAGCCACATGTTCCCCATTTCACTCAGATCACAGGAAAAGGAATGTCTAGCTTCAGTACTTACTGTCACCACATCTCCAAATGCTCACACTGAAGGTCAACAGCCTAGGAGTGCTGGAGTTGCTCTCCTTGGTTTCTCCCTCTCCACCTCCAACACCATATTGTCCTTTAACTCCAGCTTTTCTGGGAGAGGAGGGTGGTCCTGTATTGTCCATCCATTTCTAAAGACTGTTGGACTTTCAGAGCAAGATAGCTGCCCAGCCAGCCATGATGAGCACAAAAGCAGAGATCCCACACCTTTGCAGCCCCTGGGTGCCATGATGCCTGACAGGCAGCACAGCACATCTGCCTTCAAGGGGCACTCAGGGCCACTGTGGAAACACTTATCTGCAGTAAACATGGCAAGAGGTGCCTGACCCGGAAGTTATGGGGAATGGACAACTCACCTCTTGAAGGTTGAGCCACATATGAGGGCATGGCCCAAGGAGAGGTAAGGGGTGGGGTGCTGTGGTGTTAGGGAGAAGGGAGAAAGCCAAGCAAGGGCTGTTCCCATAGCCAGGCAGAGCTGGCAGGGTTAGACCCTCCCCAGATTTAGGCCAGTGGGCCCAGAGCAGTTTCCAAGCCCCTCTGGGTCCCTGGCTTGGGACTTCTCCCAGCTGCTCTCATTGGGCCCCAGGGAGCAGGAATTCACCTCCTCCTAAGGCAGCCCAGACCCTCTTCTGTAGGGCTGGATTAGGGGCATGGTGGGCTTGAGGAGGATATTGGTGAATGGTCACTGTGGAGCTGGGTGATGATCCCAGGTCTCCTCTACATGGGTGGCTACCTGCAGAACTATTTAAAAAAGCCTTTTCTCCCAAGTCTGTTTTGGGGCCCACCCACTATCAGCACCTAACCTGGGAGAGACGTGAAGTGGCCCTCCTCTGGGGCTTCTGTTCATTTTCTTACTGTGAGCCTTCAGCCTGACCACTGACTCAAGAGGACACCATCATCCTGGGCACCTTTTCCCTCAGGCTTCCCCTGGCACAATGGGTAGCAAAGTGTTAGGCAAATCCTGCCGGCTTTGCCTGAGGTCTTAAACCTATGCGTCCCTCCCCTCCTGCTACCATTGTACTTCACCCACCCCCCAACGTCTCTGCAAGGCCTCCTCTTTCCTGCAGTGGATCCTGGTGCTCCCTTGCCCTGAGTGGGGCCAAGGGGCCCACCACTCTCCTGCTTCTTTCTTCTGCACTTGCTCATACATCGCATTCAGCACAAAGCTTCTGGAGCCCTGCTTTGGCCAAGCTGTGCCTTTGGCCTGCAGTGTCTCTCCCCACGTCACAGACATAGAGGTGGTTCAAGGGCCACCTCCGGTGTCTGGAGATACCCCTGCCTCCCACCTCTGCCAGCTCACAGGGAATCCTATTATGGACACCACTCTCAGATTTGTCTGTCTCCACAGGCCATGGCCTCTGCCTCTCCAAGAGCAAAGAGAAGAGAGGTCCAGAATCCTCATCTGGGTGGGACAACACATCCGGAGCAAAACCCCAGAGGCAAGCAAGGCCAAAAATGTAATCTAAACAGAAAGCAGAAGCAAATTAAGGATGTGAAACAATCAAACCAAGTCAAGATGATTCATTAGTTTAGAAAATCACTTGGAAGAACTCATGGTGGGAAATTCAGTGAGCCCCCCCCATTCCTACAAGATGCAGGACACTCCCATAGCCAGACCTTACTGCGGGTATGAACTCAAGTGGGAGAAATGACACAGTGCTCAATCACTCCCTTCCAAAGGGGAGGGTCTTGGCAAAGTAGAAAAGAAGCTAGATGGGGATGAGGGCTGTGGGACAGAGGGCAGCAGGCTGAGGCAGAGGAGACAGGCAGATTGTGTGAGGCAGGGCTGCCCACAGAACTTGAAAGTTATGTTTAAACACCTCCACATTTGAGCTTCTTTTTGCTAAGTCTCAGTCAATCATGTCTGTTTTAGGGCACATCCTCACGGTGCCCTGGGATGGGGGTAGTCCAGAGTGGAAGCACAGAGCAAGATAACACAGGGAAGAAAGAACAGAAAGGAGAGTGTCAGGGAATGCACAGAGGGCCCAAGGAGTTTCAGAACCTTGTAGGTCCTATGTAGAAGGGACTTTACTAATAAAATTAATAAAGTATCTGGGCAGCCCATTCTACAACTGTGTCCTCACTGTCCAGCACTGTTTTCGGTGTTTGTTGAATGAATGAATGAACTTGGAGAACTTTGTCTCCACCTCCAAAACCTTTGGAGCACAATGTGCAGGACACTGGAATCTGCCACTCTGCTGAGCTACCTGGAGCCTGCAGGTGCAGTGGTCTTTCCCACTTTGCACTGTCTCAGACACTCCTGGAGTCTGAGATCAGAGGTCAGGACTGGTCTGCAAACAGTGGGCCAGTGGCACAGGCGACTGAGTGAGGGCAGCTGTACTCACAGAATATGGGGCTCTTTCTGTGTACTGTGCTTTTTCAACCCCCGAATCTTACACTGTTCTTTCCCCAATGTTTAGACAATATTTGTAGACCTCTGGTACTTGAGACTTGGCTAGTGAAAGTTTTTGGGAACTGCACAACATGAGCAAACAGAACAGAGCAAACTCAAAGCAAATTAGACAAGAGTCCCTCGTGTACTCTAGGAAGAGACAGATCTAGTCAGAGTGGGAGCCTTAAGCATGGAGGAGGGCTGGGCAGATATAAGGTCGGGAGCCTTAGGAAGAGGCCACCTGGGGCCTCTGCCTTCCCTTACAGCAGAACCAAGCATTAATCTGCTGTTCTGGGCCAATACAAAGTCTGACCCAGAATCAGGCTCCCACTCCAAAAATGAGATAGGGTAGGGCACTGCCAGGCCAAGAAGAGATGCTGCCACCACCACAGTGTCTGCTATTCAAAAGGTCAAGTATTGTTTGTTACAGTTACATGAATGAGCCCAACCAGAGGCTTGGGCATAGTCCCAGGAACCCAAGGCTGAGCATAGCCCTGGGCCTCATCCCTACTCCCAGTGTCCAGCCATACACCGAAAGTCTCAGGATCAAGCACAGGGCATTGGTTCTCTTCGTTTCACAGTGCATCTCTCTGAGCCACAGACCAGCCCACTTGTGGGAGCAGCCAACAGAACAGCTGGAGCATTGTCAAGTTAAAAGAGCAAGGACAGGAATTTCCCAGAGCCCCAGCTTAGCCAATGGTCCCAACACAGGTATGGGAGGAGGGCTGTCAGAGGTGTTTGCAAGGAGGGCCTGAATCCACTCCTCTACCAAGGTCAGTGGCCTTTGTTTAGGCTCTGAGGGAGTCCCAGCTATTTAAGCCACTTAGGACTGACATCAGGTCCTACAAAACCTTGGCTGAACCCACCAACCTCCAGAAGTTCAGCCAAAACAAAAACCAAATAAACCAGAGGGATTCTGGATCCAGAATCCATCCCCTCGGGATGGAGAGATGAAGATCCAGATCCTCTAGCCAAGCTTTCTGAAGCCATCAGTATTTGGGGAAAGGCTGGACACATCCACACAACCAGCCCAGAGAAGAAGCAAAGGCAGTAGAGTTCACATGACTCCTTTATATTAAAGTTTATTACATTTGGAAAATCTATTGTACAGGGAAAACCCATTGGATTAAGTAGAGTTTTGCCAAAAGCAAAAGACTATCACTCTTTGGAAAACATTCCTGATTCCAGCCCAGGGTGGGGCTGTAGGAGTTAAAGGTGAACTTGGTTCTTGATGGAGGAGCCAGTACCAGCTGTGCCCAAGACACCTCTTGTCAACTTTCAGGTGAAAGCATACCCAGAGATGGTGCCAAAAGCAGGAGAGTCTCTGGGCTCTCTGCCACCCTTTCACCCACCCTACAGTCCATCCCCAGCCTAAGTGCCAGGATTCAATTCTCACACAGGCTCCTCCAACAGCACAGTGGCCCAAGCCATGGCTGTAGCCTTGAGTTCATGGACACAGGCATGACTGCTCAAAAGAGGTGCCTGTCCCATGGCAGCCTGGACAGGTCAGCCCACCGAGGGGACCACCAAAAATGGGGCCACCAAACATAGTCCATACCCTGTTGCATACATGAGTGACAAACTCAGAGACAACACACAAACTAAGCCTATGTTTTGGCTTCCAGATTTGGTTCTTCTAGTTAAAAAAAACAATAAAAAATAAAAAACAGAAACAAAGTCTTCTTAACCATGATGCTGTCTCCCAAACGTAGATTGGAAGCAAGATGGGGGACACCAATCAACTGACTTAACTTACCCTGGAAGTAACGGAGTCTACTTGGGCTATGAACAGAGAAACTAGAGGAAACATGTGCAAAAACAAGTTGATATCTAAAGTAGACCTCCCCACAACACAAAGTGAATTCTGAGGAGCCCCAGATGCCCACCCCTGCCACTGCACAGCCACGGCCCCCAGTGGTCTCTACAGTAAGTGCTATGGTGTCAGCTGAAGATTCCCACCCAAGATCCTCCAGCCACAACAGGCCATTCAGTCCAAAGCAGTGGGGTCCCCTTTCTCTCCAGACCTGTGTCTGGGAGGGGGTGCTCATGTGGAGAAACCAAGTCAGAATGGTGGGATGCCAGGTGTGGCTGTGGTGGAAAGGTCAGATGCGAGAAACCCTTTGCGCCCAAGCCTCTAGGCAGAAGTCAGAGAAGCAGAGTGAGCTCCCCAGCACACCCTAGGAGTAAGTGGGCAGGAGCAGCCAGAGGGGCTGAAATGCTGGGGAGGTGGTATGGTGGCAGGGAGGCCAAGGTCTGCAGTTCTTCACAGAGAGGCAAGTAGGGGCCTAGTCAGTGGCAGGGGGCAGGGCAAGAACTGCTTCCCCATCAGGCGTAGAATTCTTCCTGCTTGGTAGGCTTCTGATAGGCACCGCCATTGGCTTGTTTTGGCTCCTCCAAGGAGTAGCTACCCTCGTCCTTCTTCTTCATCCGGTACAGCATGAAGCCCACCAGGCACACAGCAAAGATGAGCCCCACGAGGCCTCCAGCAATGACCCCTAGGGTAAATGGAGAGGCTAACTCAGTTCAACAGCTACCTGGGTTCAGCAGCAGGCCCTCTCCAGCTAGACAGCACAGGAAGTGACTCTGGCTGAGGTCCACCTCACCCCATGTCTAAAGACAGCTGTCCCCACCTGGGAGAAGACTCACCTCCCAGTACTTCCTTCCTGTCCAGGAGGCCCTGTGAGGCCCCCGTGGCTCCTTGATCCACCGGGGGCTGATTTCGGTGGTCAGGCTCCTTAGCAACCACAGCAGTGTCTCCCCAGATGTGTCGAAGGTGAAGTCCTGTGCGGGTGGGGGGGAGCAAGACATATCAGGCCTGGTAGCAACCACAATCACAGCGACATCCAGCTGTGTTTCACACCCAGAAGCCTGTCTGGGCTCTGCTGCCACTCACTCAGATACACCCCAGCTGGACCTCCAGGACCCCACAGCCCAGTGTCCTGGATATGATGTGTTCATACTGGACCCTGGCTGGGCCACAGATACCAGCTCAAGTGACGCAAAGCATACATTATATAAAACAGGCTTACTTTCAGTGTACCGTGTCAAATTCCCATGGCACTATTAAGACAAAAACCAAAACTTGGTAGAACTTTTACCCAGGCATAAGTTTGGGAGGGCCTTTCTCTTAAGTGACCTTGAAGGACTCTCTCACTCTGACCTTGTAATTATTCTGTGCTGCTCTAGGTGAAGCCCTGTGATCCCATCTTCATGGTGAGGAACACAATGTGTTCACAGGGTGTTGGGCTTACCAGGTGTCAGGCACTAAAGGCCAATGTCCCAGGAAACACAGAGGTTGCTCACCTGCTCCCCAGACCCCTCTCCTGTCGGGAGCTGATTGGAGTCTCCATCCTCAGCAGCCCTGTCGATGGCAGGACCCCCATCCTCTGTAGGAGCTAAGGTCTCACGGGGGCCAGGATGCATGTCCCTGTGGGGAGGGGAGGTGGCAGGTGCCTGGGCTGTAGTGGGTCTAGCTGTTGAGGCCCTCTGAGTGGCTGGGAGCTGTGTGGTCTCCCTGGGCTCAGGGGTAATCTCCTTTTCCCGGGCGGTGAGGTCAGGCTCTGCTTCTGAGAGCACCACTGCCTCTCCTTCCTCAGGCCCCTCTCCAGCTGTCAGAGTGGAGGTGGAGGGGGCTGTAGCTTCCCTGCCAGTGGGCTCTGCAACTGTAGGCGTGACTGTTAGAAGCCACACATCCTTCCAGGTGGAGGAGTGATGCCGTGAAAGGGTGGTATCTTCCAAGGCACCTGAAGAGCCAACACAAAGCATGTCAGGGTGGGGGCACCCTCAGGGGCACAGGGCTTTGGCCCAGTGCCCACAGATCTTCGGCCCTCCCTGCCCTCCCTCACCCCAGAAGGGCCCAGGTTCCCAAGAACAGCCCGCATCCTACCTCTCAGCTCTCAGGCCTCTACTCTGGTCTCATTCCCACTGATGTCCAGCCTACTTTCTGAGCTCTCACTCCTCTTCCAAGGTCCAAAACTGTTGCCTCCTCTGGGAGGCCTCCCTGATCAGCTCTAGCTCAGGGACTTCTCTTCCCCAAAGAAAAGGAAAGTAGGGAAGGGAAGACATGAAAGGCTCTGTGCTACCTATGGCCAAAGTATTATTCCCATTTTACAATGGAAATACCAGAGCTCACATGAGCTGAACAGCCTTCCCAGGTTGGTTGCAAAGTCCACCCAGTGAGTAAAAAGGACAACATGCATTGGTGTGCAGCAGGCAGCTTGGGGCTTTTAAGAGCCTCCAGCCTTCTCTTTATCTCTGTGGGGGTTTTCTCTCTAGCCAGGCAGCTTCTTGAAGCCATGACCCCATTCTTTCCCTCAGCATTGTCCTTCCAACCCAGATGAATGGGGAGGGGGCTCACAAAAGCCAGGACACCACCTGCCCGCCGCTCTGGTCACAGACTGGTACTGTCTCTGACGGCCATCAGTCTTACCTGCACCTGAGCCAGAGTTGTCAGAGTCGTCCCCGGAGCCATCCTGATCTTCGGGAGGCACATTTGTGGCCACAATTTGCTGGAAAAGGATCCAAAAAGAGCATTAGTAGAGACTTGGCCAGAGCCCTGCTGTCCCTGGGTCCCTGTCCTAGACAACTGAGTGGACTCACCTACCCTGCCAGCCCACAGGTGGGAAGACCCTGCATGTGATTCCAGGACTTCTCAGTTCTGCACAGCCCTCTGGGCCTCCCTGCACCCCGATTAGATGACCACACAGCCGGGTGCAGAGGCACAGGACCGTCTGACCTCTCAGAAGGCAGACAAGCTGTTCCTGGCAATGCAGGCTAGGGCTCCCGTAGGAGTCACCAGGTCTTGTGGGGGCATCGGCCAAGGAGCTTTCAAGAGTTTTTCCAGGAACAACTCCAAGAAATCCAGACCCTAAGAAGCAACCTCTAGGTGTGCTGGACACCAGGGTGTGGACACTGAGGCTACAGTGGGGCACAGGGGAATTGTCTGTGCTGAGGCAGCTCTGCCCACACAAGATAGCTCCAGGTCAGGCTGCAAGGCCCCCTTTCCTCCTCAGAATATTGTCCTTGGGGAAGGAAGGACAGGGCACTCATCAGGCTGGGGACTGCAGAGGCTGGAAGGATTCTGTCTGTCGTAGGAGGCTCCAGTAATGGGTGGTGGGCCTCAAGTGGATCTCCTAGGCAACTAGTTGCTCAGGAATGTGGCCTGCCTTGCTCACTCCAGTTCCAAGAGGCTGCAGGTGGCAGAGCACAAACAATTCTAAGGTAGGGCTGACCTGCAGGGCTGGGGGTGGGGACCTGGACAAGGTGGAGCACACCACACAACTGAGCAGGGAGGGGAGGAGAGTCAGGACCACATCCACCCCCAGCACTTGCTCCAGAATATCAGGTGCAGAAGGGAGGACCCAGTAACCAGGTGTCAGAGGACCCCATCAAGGACCAGAACAAAGAATGACTAAGGAAGCATAAAACATGGTTCAGTGATAGGTTTCTGACCTCTGCCACTTACTGGATTGGCCCTAGGGATGTCACTGAATAGCATATGGCCCCAGTCTCTCCAACTGTAAAATGGGTCAATACTAACATCTGCATTCCAGGACTATTACAGAAATTCAATTAGGTTATGCAAGCAAAGAACCTAACAGAGCGTGGCCCCCACTATACACCCACAAACAGTGGCCACCGCTCTAAACCTAGAGAGGCACAGCAACTCAACATGGAGACAAGGGACTCTGGGGCCTCCAATGCTAGCAAGTCTGTGGACAGAGGACAGGATGGAAGTGGATGAGGGCGCAGGAGGGAGCCACTTCACCAGGAGCCTCTGCAGACCTGTCACAGGGGCTGTCTAAAGCTGCACCATGGCCACACCCACAGGTCTCTCTGGTTAGTGCAGTAGAGCAGTGAGGGTCAGACAGGATCTTTGGTCTCCTGCGATAACTTTGGGACAGAGTTGCACCAAAAACAGGCTCCATATCCAGAACCAGGGTCAGAAAGATACAACAGCTATATGTAGAAATGGCAAGGCCAGAAAAAACACTGAACTTCCTTTGAAAGTACAAAGCAAACTGTACCCTCCTCCCTGCAAGGCAAAGGACTTGACCCTAGAAAAACCTTTCACGGCCCATCTACAAGACCAATACAGTCCACTGTGGCCAGACCCCAAGGAACAGTCAGAGTCTATCACTCATCCCGCATAGGCCATATCTTGTCTACACCATCCCAGATGTGGCTTCAAATACCTGTACTACCACCATATGGGTTGAAGCTGCCTCCTTTAGCAACAGAGGCTACCACATATCACCCACCAGGCAGGTATAGTCACCAAGAGGACCTCACCCAAGGCCTCTCAGGGCTCTGTCAAGATGAGCCTAAGCAGCACTGTACAGGGTGAATCTTCCAGGAGAAGCCACCATCGTGGGATCCAGGCCCTGTTCAACAGAGGAGGTAGCCAAGGCTCAAAACACACATACTGACGCCCAGGTACAACCCAAGAGGCACCGCCCAGGAGCCAAGGTGAACACAGGGGGGCTGGCCTCTCACCTACACAGAGAAGCCCCAACAGGTTAACAGTTTCCCAAGAGCAGGGCTTCTCCTATGGCTAGATAAGACTCTGGGTCTGCCCAGGCCCTGGAAACAATTTGTTCCCTTAGCTGTCTGGGCTTATCCCTCTGTGATCTTGTTTACACAACAAGCTCTTAAGCAAACGCTTTCTCCAGTGAAACCGGCAAACCAGCTCTCTGGCCTCCGGGAGCCAATCCTCACTCTGGGTCTCCAGTCTCCACTAACGGGTGGGGCTGTCTGTCCCCTCTAATTCTTCCGCCAGTTGGGACCTTCTATAACAGCATCTCAGATGGGGAAAAAGGGAAGCTTCAACCCCCTGCGGAGGAAATTAGCAGAAACTGATGAGTTCAGACTGGGATTCCCAAGGTGCCAGCTGACTCTGAAGTTTCGCTCTAACTTTCAGTTTCTTCTAGCAAGGCTGTGGTACTCCTTGCCTGGGTACACTGCCTCCAAGGCCTCATAAGGATCTCCTCAGCATCACCTTGGACCTTCTACACTGCTTGGCCAGGGTTTAGGACTGTGCAGGGACAGGCGGGATCAGTTGAACCTACCTTCTGCTATGTGGGGAGGCAAAAGGCAAGCCAGCCTAAGCTCTCATCTCTGCAGGTCCCAGGATAATCAGCTGCCCATTGAGCACATCAAGAACAAAGAACAGATCCTGGTACCAAGAAAGGTCTTGGCTTTTACATGTTCTGTTCTCTTAAAGCAAGGCAAATTTGCTCCTTCCCCACCCACAGCACAGTAGAAGCTCACTAACTTGAAAATTCAAAGCTGGAAGGTTTTGGATGTGGGGGCTGGGGGATCACGGGGCTGCATGGAAAGACCCTGAAGTGAGGCCCTAGGTAGGGCTCTGGTCCAATGAGAAAGAAGGTGTGAGAAGGCCAAGACCTTCCCTCAGGGTAAAAAGTGTTTGATTTCTACAACTCATCTACAGATGAGCAGGCAGGACTGATTAGCATCTCTGACAGATAAGGAACAGTCTCATAAAAGGTAAGGAACCTGCCCAAGGCCACCCAGCCAGCAAGTGTTCCAGCTTCCAGTGCAGCACACCTGTTCTCCTCACCTGCCATCCTCCTCTCTTTCCTTCTCCCCAGCCCTAAGGACCAGGCTGAGTCCACCCATTTTAAGGAGCTCATCTAAGACGCTTCAACCCAGCGCAGCACCATTAGCCATGGGAGTACGTCACTAAGTAGGAACCCCTGAGCCATCCCGAGGCTGGAGGGACCAGGGTGGGAACCCAGCCCACACCTGAGAGGCACAGAGGGAATGGCATGGACCAGAACAGGGGCAGGGAGTTTCATTCCTCGCCATCAGCCATGTCTAAGAGCCATGCCCAAGGATATCTCTGGGGCCTGTAGGCAGAGGGCTGGAGGGAAGCTTCAGTAGTGCAGCCAGGAGCCACTACCTGCCAGCTCCCACCCCTACAATGACTGTAAGTAGGGCCACCCTCCTTGGCAAGCTCCCTCTGATGGAGCCCCTCTGTTGTGCCACTAGAGGCAGAGGTGTGGTTTGTATTACAGCACTTCACCAGGACATCCTGGGCCTCATTTGTGTCACAAGCCAGGGTATCAAGTGGGTGTCTTCAAGAGGTTCAAGTATGGTGGACCCAATGGCTAACCAAAGAAGCTGCCCATCACTCCATCAGCCTGGAGCCACCAGGTCCAAAGTTTCCAACCAGCACTGAAACATTAACTTGTCACCTGCTGCTTGACTTGAGTGATGGGGGATAAATCACAAATCCCTTAAAAAGCGACTTTACAGAATCACGTTACTATTTCAACCAATGTACTCTAAGTGAACGATGGCATATAAGGAGGTCACAGGATTATGATATTAAATGGGATCCCCTGCTTCAAAAACCTGGGACCATAATCTAAGGGCTTTGGGAAGAAAACAGAATAAGAAATAGTCTGGTCACAGCCCTGACAGAGCACATTCCCAGGGGCTTCAGGAAGAGAGAACTCCAGAGGCTGATCCTTGAAGTCCCAAGCCAGACCCAGGAGTGGATAAAATAATGCCACTCCAACACACTAACTTGGGCAACGCTGGAACCTTTGCATGATGGAGTGGGCAAGGGAAGCTGAACTACAGGTCAGCTATAGCTGCTCAATGTGGTACTGAAACTCCCAGCTTTTGTGGGTGGGAGTGGAATCACTGAATCAAAAAGTCCCATTAGTCACACCACCAGTGACAAAGAGCTATCCTTATCAGCCTGGATCCTGAATATGGCCCTGGCTCTGGGTCTGGTCATCAGGAGAGCTCCAGACTTGTTCCAGGAGCCCAGGCTTCAGTGTTAAAAGGTAGGAAGAGCCCTGTGTTCAAGCCAGGACAGACACCCATTCACTCCCAAGATTCCATGCCACTGCAAACAACCTTGGGAACTTTCAAACCGATTCACAGTGTGTTAGAAATCTGTATTAGCCCCCTCAGTCCCTTGGTCAGATCTACAGACCTAAGAAATATGAGCTGACTCCTCTTCCCCCAGACTTCACAACTCTTGGCAGGAATGGTGGGGGGCATGGGGACACTGAGATCTGAGCTACAGAACCCTAGGATTCACCACCCCATTTCTGCACCAAATGACACACCAAATCATCCCCCACATCCAGGGTTCCTAAGAATCATGAGGAAACACAGTCTTCTGCACTCCACCCCCATGTCCTAAGGGGGTCCACAGGCTGTACTTCAAGAACAATGGTCTAGACAGGAAAGGCCCAGAGGCGCCCACAGCCAGGAGGAGTGGGGGAAGCAAGATTTCCACTTGGGTACCTTGACCAAGTCCAGTGTTTGGAGATAAGGCACCAATTACAACAGATCCACATGAACAAATTCTAGAGGCAAAGCAAGACTCTGGATTCTTCTCTCTACACTTCTGCTTCATTCTTGGTGGACAGAACTCCATGGTGTTGGCTCGGTCTCCCTCAATAAGAAGCTAAAGAAACCCTGACTTTTCAGAGCCCCCCAACTCCCACAAAGGAAAGCAAGAACCTTCTGTCCAAAGCTGAGCTGAGACTCCTCCCTGCCAGAACTGAATGGGTACAACCTTGCTTTCACAGGTAACTGGCTTCCCAGCCCAGCACCTTCCCACTGACTGGCCCACACACTGACCTGGCGGGAACCAACAAGCAGTCACTGCTGATGCTAAGAGGCCCTGGGGGTCCCCAAGGGTGAGACTGGACCCCAGGGGCAGCAGCACCACAAGGCCTCCAATAGTCTTGGGGAGACTACTGAGGGAGACCCACTGCCAAACCGTACTTTACCTCTGGCAGCCTCCAGGCACCCTGGTGCCCTAAGTGT